TTAAAAGTGAGCCTGATCCTGATTCTCTCTGGCTTCCTATCTCTGTTATCTCTCTTTTGCACAGGCTGCCACCATTGTGTTGCTGCCCTTCATGGTGACCTCACCAGAGCTCAGCAGAAGCCTGTGTCTTGCCCTTGAACCTCCAAGGCAAATAAACCTCTCTTTAAGGATACAGTTCCCAGCCTCAGATATTTCATTATAGTAACAGAAAACAGACTAATATATTTCCTTCCATTATTGTCATAACGTCAGGCCTTTGTTGTAGGCACCATATTGGTCTTTCTGCTTTGGTCTCTCCTCAAATCCTTCTTCCCTATGGACAAAGTGATCTTGCCAAATGTCCCTTTGAGCAGGTTATTCCCTCACTCAATGCCCCCTTTTTGGCATCAAGCCCAAGCTCCTTGGTTCAGGGGTCTGGGACCCTCTACAAGGCGAACTCACCTTTCCAGCCTTACTGTGTGCCCCTTACCTGCTCTGTTCTGCCAAAACAAACTCTTTCTGATTTCCTCAATACCTTTCATGATCAGCTCATGTTACACTTTCTCTCTACAGTAGTGAGAGCCTTCCCTGACCCCTAAGCAGAGTAAGTTATTCCATCTTCCCATGCCTCTAGAAGAACTTGAATCTTTCAAGATTTGCATAACTGTCTTCTCCAAAGCCTGTGAGTTCCTCCAGGGCCCAGAAAATATGGAGAATTCATTTTTTATGTATCCATGATATGTAGCAGGTACTGCCTAAGGACTTCTTTGGATTTTACTCTGCAAGGGTGTTGAAAGAATTCCTTTCACCTGTTCTCTCCACCTATCTTTGAGTGTTTTGATATTTTCCTGGTGGTTAATGCTAAAAGTATAACTAAGACTGCTATGCTGATGAAATGCAGGAAGCAGCTGTGCGGACAGGGGCTGGTTTGTATTGTGTCTCTTCTTAATTGCTGAGTGACCTTGGGCTGGTCGCTTGGCATCTCTGGAATTTAGTTTCTCTCCATATACATTGGACAACTGGACAGCAGTAGTAACTTTCCGTGTCTTGGTGCACAGTGATTGAGCCCCCGTGGCAAGTTCTACCTTCATGTCTCCCATGAATATTAATGAATATTAAATTGTTGAGCACTGTACAAAGCATAGGTTCCTTACCCAATTTGTCTTATGAAATTCTGCCAACAGCTCAAGGAAGTAGGTATCAGGACTTCCACTTCCGGGATGCTCAGACACATGTAAGGTACTTGTGTGAGGTCACACTGAACAGCCAAAATTTGAACCCAGGAATGGAAGATTCCAAATGTCTAATGGGCTGGCTGGCCTTCCCATCTAGGATGGAGGGGCCCTATCTCAGGGACTTAGCATTTGCTGTTTCATCTGCATAAACACTCTTCCATCTGCTCTTCATGGCTTTTATTCTTCATGGCCTACTTTAAACATCATCTCCCCCGAAAGATTTTCCTCATCCCCTATCCAAAAAATTTCCTTTCTTGCCCCAAGTTACACACTATCTCATCCTTCTCTTCCTTTCATAGTGTTTTGAACATTGGATATTTTCTTCACTTTAAAAAAATTTTAATTGTAGTATATAGTGTTTACATTTCTTGTGGGAAGTTGGTACGCATCTTAATTCCTTTTTTCATCTGGTTTCCCTTCCCACCCTCCCCCGTCCGCTTATCTCTTGATCCCCTTGCTTTTTTTCCTCTTTTGGTACACATTTGCAGTACATAATGTTTACATCCCTCTGAGGAGCTGGCACATGTACCTAACACATCCCAATTCCTTTTTATGTCCCCTGTCCCTCCACTACCTCCCCCATCTCCATGTCTTGGGCCCTTTCTCCTCTGAGAAAGATCTATCTCCTTACTTCTCATTGTCTACTTTTATTTTGATCTTTTACTTTGAGTTTCTTCTCTCTCATATGTAGGAGCCCTGAGGGTAGGGGCTTTGTGTTTGTGTTTGTGTATATGTGTGTGTGTGTGTGTGTGTGCGTGTTTCTGAAAACAACCAAATTATTGAAGCATGAAGAACAACTCTCAAATGATCTTCCTACTTTCAGACTGCGCAACACTCAAACTCATCCTACAACCTTCATCCTTTAAGACCCAAGTTTTCCTACCTCTATAATGAAGAAGAATAGGGGTCACAGAATGTTTTCTAAGTGGCCAGAGAATAAGTAATTTCAGGCACTCTATGGAGTCACACAGTCTTAGCTTCAGTGACTCAACTCTGCTGTTGTATCACAAAAGCCACAAACAATATGTTGTCAAAAAGGCAAGAGGGTGTGCCAATAAAACTTTATTCACAAAAGCAAGAGGCCAGCCTGTAGGGCATAGTTTACTGATCCCTGGACTAGAGAGCCTTATTGTTTGCACATTTAAATATCCTAAGGCACTTCTTTTGGCTTAGACTTTTTGGTCTTAATAATGAAAATTCCCTTTCTGGTATCTTGGATGTTTGGGATGCTCAAAGGGACAAACTATGTGAAAGGGAAAATAGATGCCTTAATGCTATGGCATCCCGATGGTTATAAACAATTATGGAATTTGGTGACTGCCTTTAGAAAGCATCTAGAAGTTTCTTTCTTCAAGCCTCCCTTTTCCCCTTCCCTGAAGACATCTCTAATCTCAACCCTCTCTGAACTTTCTGAAGCCCTCCACACTGTATTAGATAGTCCATCTCCTGCTCTGTTGCACAGTCTTGCTTACCCATAAATGTGTATATTCTTTCCCCACTGGATTATAATGGCATATAACAGAGAATGTAATGTTATATAACAGAGACTATAACAGATTACAATGTTATATAACAGAGAGTCTTATTTCTTCTTTTTTCCCCAAGTGGCATCTCAAACCTTTTTGCGCACAGAGAAGTACTGAGTAAACATTCAGTTTATATTCGAAGACCCCCGCCCTCTTTTTCCATTATACATCATCCAAGAGGATTAGATCACTGTGGGGCCGGAGCTGGAAGACCTCTCCCTTGGCTGACTTCATTCCCTGTGATGTGTGGGATCTGACACCTGTCTGTCTGTTGCCTACCAGGCACATACCCGTGGAATTTAGAATCAGGCAGAGTGGCTGTGGTGGTCGAATGAAAAACATTTGAGCCCTGCAGAAGCCAGAGAGGCCAGGCGACTGGTTGGGAGGTGGAAACAAGAGGGGATTTGGGCCCAGAATGTGGAATAAAAACATATTAGACTTAAGATTCTTCTTTGCTAGTAACTTGCTGAGGGATTTTAAGCAGGCCACGTAATAACAAGCTACTTCAATAAGTCATAAATCTGAGTGCTTTTTTTTTTTATCTAAATGGAGATTTAGGAACATAATTTATGTGAAGGCACTGGTAAGGAATCAAGAATCACACTAAAATCATAATAATTATTAGTAACAAGCTGTCATCATCTCTCACCTCCTACCTGCCCTCTCTGCTCTGCGCTTGTCCGTTGAGTCTATCAGTTACTGTGTGTGAGTTAGATCTTAGACCTGGCCACTCCTCAGCTAAATCTTCAGTGGCTTCCATGACAACTTGAAGCCTGAGTCCTAACGGTGGCTGACAAGGTCCACATTACCTACCCACGTGGCCTTGGACCTCATCCCCTACCACTCTCCAAGGCAGCCACACCCTCCTCCCTGTCTATCATTTACCTTGTGATGCTCTTGTCTTATCTAAAACATTGTCTCTGGACATCTGCACAGCTCACTGTCTCACCCATTTCAGAGTTTGACTGAAAGGTCATCTTTCTCAGGGAGGGCTTCCCTGGCCATCCTTTAAAAACTTGCTTCTGGGC